AGACATATTGTTATATCGATGGTATTACACTGTACATGTGTAGGTCGATCAGACATATTGTTATATCAATGGTATTTCCCTGTACATATATAGGTAGATTATATATTGTTGGAACAATGGTATTACACTGTACATATGTATGTGTATTAGCTATATTGTTATATCAATGGTATTACACTGTACATATATAGGTATATTACATATTGTTATATCAATGGTATTCCACTGTACATAGTAGGTAGATTAGACATATTGTTGTATTGTATTAAGTCTTCTTCTGTTTTTATACTTCCCTTGTACTTCATCAGAAGTATAGTACTCAATGGTAATATAGTTGGCAGTACACTTATTCAGATTACGCGTAATTGTATATATTTTAAAAGATATATTTCAGTCTACTGTAACTGTGTAAATGTGAAAAATGGAGATTGCTAGAATTATAAATAATCTATTTTCCATATTAATCATACAAACCAGGATACCAAAAGCTGTACGAGGACAGTGAAAAAATAAATGTTAAAGAAACACTAGCCAGCAGAGAGCCAAACAACACCGTGGCCAAACAACCAACAAAGAAATTCGGTACTATGATAAGGAAAACACAGACGGGTTTGACTTCGGTGATTCAACCTGGTAAGGTGAGGTCACATAAACACTTATCATATTTCCATAGCCGAAAAGATACAGGATAGTGGACTTTTTGTTCCAGATATGACTTACATAAAGATATTGAAATAAGTCTACAATGTGCATGCTGTTTCATAACAATACTATCGCAATTGGTAGCTTTTGTTCCTGCTGCATTACTATTTAACCTTTTATATATCGACGGGCAGTTATAATCATTCACACATTTTTTTGAACTAGTTTTATGTTCTCAAGTTTTCTCTTGAAATAAGCAAGCATTCGTTATGATTTGAACAGCCATACTACATAGACGACGAAATGGAGGCCAAGTCATTTCCGTTTCCCGTCTTCAGATATGAAGCAAATGAAGGAGAGCTTACGGTGAAATGGCAGTGGCACAACGACAAACGCCATGTGGCCACTACTATACAGGTCGCAGGAGTCGAGTTCATTGACCGTGGTGGCGTCACTTGGTGAGTATTCAGCGTCCATATAAGGATTAAACGGCATTGTCCCATGTTAATGCCGTTATGAACGCAAATGGGTTACATGAATATTCCATTAAGTTATTATTGACCTTAATATTGGTATTTACTAATGTTTTTCATATGTGAGTGTCTGTATCGTAAGTGCGAAAGAAGTTACTTGAATAGCCTACCTTCTTTAAAATGCTTGCTTCTAAATGTTGTCTCAAGGTTATTCGATGCGGGAGAAGCTTAATAGCCCTATGGACGCAACTTCATCTGATAATGCTTATGGTGTAACTTGTGAAGGAAATATAAATATATTTATATGTACCGTAGTGCAAAGTATTTCGAAATCTGGAATCCAGAGAAACTATCAAGACTGAGGGTTATTCGAGTATGTATTGAATATATCAAATTCTACATAAACCCGACCTTATGTAACCTATTTACTCAATATTGTACATATTTACAAGATTGATTCAGCAGGGCATACAATATTGATTCAGTAAAGTATACAGTAAGTAATATAGATAGATCCAAAAGCCATTTGGGTTCCTCACCATGGTGTATGATAGCGTATATGTAGTGAAAGTCAAACAAAAGTAAACAAAAACAATATTGATATAGAGTGTTTTATTCCACTTCATTGTGCGATTGCACAACACACCAAAACTACTGCGCGCACGTCGTCTGCACAGCTAAACGATTTAACAATCGATCATCTCCTTGTACGATAATATGCACAAATAGGTGCGATTTTGTAAGATGGTTGATCAGTATTTAGAAAGAAATCTTTTCGAAAGAAACATTTGCCGTATTAATTTTCGATCAGTGTATTTTGCATTGTATCCAATTCTGTAACACATGATGGAACATGGTTACAAAGAATATAAAGAAACTCGATATACCCAAGCCCGAATTAGAATTGAGTATAATATAGTCACATATACAAAGTCAATTAGATTGGTTTGTATTAATTAATGAAATCAATTTATGCTTCAGGTGTCCCAGCAAAATCGTGCATAATGAAAAAGTTGTCAACTGCAAACAGTGTGTATGGGTTCATAATAGGATTGACAAAAAGGAGTCTCAAGTGATCGATTGCTTAATACCGTGTGAGGAATACAGGTAATGCCACATGCATGCTACACACACTTTACACCATTTGTCTCATACAGGTTACATTAAACCTTACACCATTGGTCACATACTGGTTACATACACTTTACACCATTGGTCACAAACAATGTACAGGCTACATTCCCTTTACACTATTGGTCACATACATGTTACATACACTTTACACCATTGG